ACTGTTACCATAATATATATATATATATATAATTAGGTTGGTTATACTGTTACTGTAATATATATATATATATATAGTTAGGTCAGTTGTAATGTTACCGTAGGTTAAATATTATTGTATTTTGAATGAAACTTCTTAGCTTTCTGACTAAATTCCAAGTATACTTTTTACAATGTTTTGCCCATGTTTTAGCTAAACTAATATTTTCCCCACTACAAACTGCGAAGTTCGCAAATGAGATTACATTAATAACATTCGATACACAACGTGAGATACATAGAGCTGAAACTAATGGGTTTTGCTCTATTTTGTATCAACAACTGGTTTAATTTTGTTTTGTAAGTATTTAAAGTAAATCATGGCCATAATGGTAACCACACAAATAAAACACGATACTTTAATTTGCTGTGGATCGTATAAAACAATGATATAGAAAAGTGTATACTGAATGGAAAATGTGAAACTTATTACAATAAGTTACGAGTGGGAGAAAAGAAAAGAAAGGTGCACAAGGTAAGACAAAACGAAAGGGGCACAAGGTAAGACAAAACGAAAAGTACACAAGGTAAGACGAAACGAAAGGTGCACAAGGTAAGACAAAACGAAAAGTACACAAGGTAAGACGAAACGAAAGGTGCACAAGGTAAGACAAAACGAAAAGTACACAAGGTAAGACGAAACGAAAGGTGCACAAGATAAGAAGAAACAAAAGGTGCACAAGGTAAGACGAAACGAAAGGTGCACAAGGTAAGAAGAAACGAAAGGTGCACAAGGTAAGAAGAAACAAAATGTACACAAGGTAAGAAGAAACGAAAGGCGTTTCTTCTTATCTTGTGCACCTTTCGTTTCGTCTTACCTTGTGCACCTTTCGTTTCTTCTTACCTTGTGCACCTTTCGTTTCGTCTTACCTTGTGCACCTTTCGTTTCGTCTTACCTTGTGCTACCTTTCGTTTCGTCTTACCTTGTGTACCTTTCGTTTCTTCTTACCTTGTGCAGTTTGTTGCTTAGCGACAGAGATGATGTTTTGTCGTCTCCTAATCAATAGAAAACTCATTTAACTTAACCGAAACCCTGTTTCCTAGAGACTAAAAGATATAAATTCTACTGTAAATGTGTCAAACACTCGATAAACCATTATTTATTAGCTGATAAGTTTTTTTTTAATGTATATGATTAAAATAATAAAACAACAGGTTTTATTTTTGTAGGTAACAGGGAAACTTGCTCTTGTTTTCATTCGTTGTTACGATGGGGTTCTCTCATTGTTAAGATGAATTTTCCTCACTGTTAAGGTGGATTTCCTTTATATTTAGGATCAATTTCCTTCATTGTAGGATGGGTTTTCCTTATTGTTAAGATGGATTTCCTTTATTTTTAGGATAGATTTTCTTCATTGTTAAGACAAATATCCCTTATTGTTAGGATGTAATTCTCTTTTATTAAAAGTTATCAAGTAAATACTTATTGTTGCTTTAATGTTTTTGTTTGTCTCGAATGTGCTATCCTTGTGCCCCTGGTCACTCAGTGATAAGTTCGAGGGCTTATAACGCTACAATTCGAGTATCGACACCCGCAATGGGCTGACCACAGATAGCCTATTGTATATATATATATTTGTGCTTAAGAACAAATAAACAAGCCATTCTTTTATAGATTTTTTTCTAATGTGGAACTTAAAGTTGCAGAATTGTTTGTCACCGTCTTCTAACTTGATAAAACTTTTGGGTTTTACGTACGTATATTTTACTTTGTACACATCTGGCAAGCACGAAGTATGTACGGTTCATGTTTCTGCTGTCAGAGATTATGTCAGAACTAAAGATGTAGAAAAGGAAATATTTGTTTCCATTTTTATTGTCTTACGTTTATTCGAATCTGCGTGACGGTATTTAGGGTTAAGGATCTGCTGTCATGTGTAATGTATGTTGAAATGCATCGTTATTAGAAGGACTAGTTATTAGGGTTAAGATCTTACCAACTCGGACGAGAAAATGGAGCGCAGATCTTTGAAAGAAAGCACCGAGTTATTGGAATACTACAACTGTTTCTAATTCAGGATATGAATGTGTAATAATAAGAAATCCACCAACATTCAATTCGGGAATAAATTGCTCAACGCAGAATGAACGTAGTCTGGAATAAGGTTTAAGTAATAATTTCTTGTTACTTTACCTTTCAGAAAGATAATAGACTATTACAACAAAAAGAGGTTTCATCAGGATTAACTAATGACACAGAACATTCAAGGTTGTAGGCTTGTTTTGATTTTCACCACAAACAAAACACATTCATTTGATGTAAAAGATGATCCATCTAATTTATTCATATTCTGCAAATTAATCTTTAGTTCAATTTTTTTTATGTTCTTTGCACTACTTAACTGGGATTTTCTATTCTTATGTTATTAGCCATTTCTGAATTGCGGAATTACCGTGGTAACCCAAGTTATATAGCTCTTGAACAGAGTTGAGTGAACAGAGATCGTTGTTGTAGGCTGACATTACGTTTCACACACACTTTTGACATTGTAGTCTTTTGTTTTACGTGTTGACACCACCTGGAAATACAGTCGCTGTTTTAAGATCTCGTGTCATTAAGGTTCCAACTAGGTGATCACCCACAATCATGCATCTTGGGAAATCTGATAGACTTTTTAGCTTGGCGTTTTTAGAACAACAATATTCGTTTACACCCCCAAATAAAATTATTTAATGTCTTATGAACTACCATACCGCTACATATCCACCTCTTAGAGTCATCAAAAGAACGTAGGGATAAAAAAGACGAGATATTTCAATTATTTTGTGATATCCAGT